AGCTCCAATTATGTAGACTTCTGATTTGGTCTTTGGTATGTCATCTTCTGTGTTTGAGGATGCTCTGCGCAATTTGCTTGATCGCCAGTCTCCTGTTCCTCCAGGTGCATCTTCTGCCTCTTCTTCGTTTGCCCGTTCAGGTAACTTAGCCACATCTTCTTGTGTTTTTTTATCTCATCATTCCATCCGAACTACATCCACTAAGGAAGATTTATGGATGTGGCATCGACGTCTAGGACATCCATCTTTTTTATTACTTAGACATTTATTTTCTTCTGTTTTTGTCAAAAATAAAGTCTATGAGTTTTATTGTGAGTCCTGCAAACTTAGCAAACAACACCGAGTTTCTTTTGCTCCTAGTAATAATAAAAGTTTAGTTCTTTTTTTCCTAATTCATTCGGATGTTTGGGGCCCATCTCGTGTGATGTCAATGAAGGGTCATAGATTGTTTGTTACTTTTATAGATGACTGCATTCGTGCTACTTAGGTGTACCTCATGAAAAAAAAAAGTGATGTTTTCTCTATGTTTTGAAACTTCCATAAGATGGTTAGTACCCAATTTGGGGCGGTTGTCAAAATATTACGTTTTGATAATGGGGGTGAGTATATTGATTCTGGGTTAGCAAAATATTTTTCCACTCATGGTGTTATCCATCAAACATCTTGTACTGACACCCTTCAACAGAATGGGGTTGCCGGGCGCAAGAGTCATCATCTTCTTGATATGGCTCGTTGTATGTGTTTTTCTATGGGCATACCTTGGGCCTATTGGGCTGAAGCTATTCTCATTGTTGCATATCTCATTAGTAGTCTTCCTACACAATTCTTACGAAAAAGGGCACCTCTCCAAGTGCTCTTAGGTTCCGAGTCTTTGGTTTCCATTCGTTTAAAAACCTTTGGCTGTGTGTATTTTGTTCATAATCATTCTCCTTCTTGGGGTAAGTTGTTTTCTTGTTCTCTCAAATGTGTGTTCTTGGGTTACTCTCCTACCTAAAAGGGGTATAAGTGTTATCATCCTCCCTCTTATAAATGGTTTGTGTCCATGGATGTCACCTTCTTTGAGTCTTAATCCTATTTCTTGTCTAGCCCAGTGTCGCAGTCACCTCGTCAGGGGAAGTCTTGGAGTGAAGAGATTCCTGTTGCGTCTATCATCCCTGGCCTAGTACCACCACTAGTGATACCTATTACTAGCAATACAGAGTCTGATGTTGCCAAGAACAAAGAAGAGCGTTCTTGGGTTACTCTCCTACCCAAAAGGGGTATAAGTGTTATCATCCTGCCTCTCGTAAATGGTTTGTGTCTATGGATATCACCTTCTTTGAGTCTTAATCCTATTTCTTGTCTAGCCCAGTGTCGTAGTCACCTCGTTAGGGGAAGTCTTGGAGTGAAGAGATTCTTGTTGTGTCTATCATCCCTGGCCTAGTACCGCCACTAGCGGTACCTATTACTAGCAATACAGAGTCCGATGTTGCCAAGAACAAAGAAGGGAAAGTCTATGTTAGGGATAAAGAAAGACAGAAAGTTACTTGGATACAAGAGATCACTTCTGATCAAACATCGTTGTCTCCTCTTGATGAAGGTCCAGGTAACCCTCAAACCCCTGATATTGTTGCCTCTAAGTCTGAGCCTACTGATCTTGATATGCCCATTGCCAAGAGAAAGGGTGTGAGATCTTGTACTCATCATCTGATTTCTAACTTTGTGTCTTATTCTCATTTGTCCTTTTAATCTAAAGCCTTTGTGTCAAAAATTTTCTCTGTAAGTATACCTAATTATTTTTAGGATGCTCTTACTATTCTTGAGTGGAAATTGGCCATAGTGGAGGAAATGAAAGCACTTCATAAGAATAGCACTTGGGGTTTAACTGAGTTACCTAGGGGCAAATGACTTGTGGGGTGCAAATGGGTATATACTGTGAAGCACAAGGTAGATGGTCCAATTGAGCGATATAAAGCTCGCCTTGTGGCAAAAGGTTTCACTCAGACTTATGGGGTGGATTACCAAGAGACATTTGCTCCAGTTGCAAAGATGAATTCAGTCAGAGTACTTCTCTCTGGTAGCTAATTTGTATTGGCCACTTTATCAGTTTGATGTGAAGAATGCTTTCCTGCATGGTGACCTAGAAGATGAGGTGTATATGGACATTCCTCCTTGCTTTGAAACTCTTCAAACTAAGGGTAAGGTGTGTCAACTTCAGAAGTCATTATATGGCCTCAAACAATCTCTAAGGGTTTGGTTTAAGAGGTTCACTCTGGCAATGCTGAAATACGCTTCAAACAGAGTCAGGCTGATCATACTCTGTTTGTTAAACATTCCTCTCATGGTAAGACTACAACTCTCATTGTATATGTGGATGACATAGTGCTTATAGGAGATGATGTAGAGGAAATCCCTTTGTTAAAAAAGTATTTGGCTAGTGAGTTTGCTATCAAAGACTTGGGGAACTTGAAGTACTTTCTAGGGATTGAAGTGGCTAGGTCCAAATATGGGATCTTTATTTGTCAGAGAAAATATGTTCTTGACCTGTTGAAGGAAACAACAGAAATTTTGTGATGATAGTGGGGGAGCAGCCATTGATAGGGGGGATTATCATAGACTAGTGGGTAAGCTCATTTACTTATTCCATTCTCGTCCTAATATTGCTATTGCCATTAGTGTGGTTAGCCAGTTTATGCAGCTCCTTATGAAATACACTTGGTGGCAATTTGCTAATTTTGAGATACTTGAAATCTTCTCTTGGAACCCATGTATAATAATCCTCCTCATTCTTTCCTTATTAATATTTGCTTTAGGATCTAGATCTGAAATTTTATGACATAGATCCTTAATTTTTGTGAAATATTATGGACTTGCTTCCTTGAGTGTTGGTGATCAACTCATTTTCGAGAAATTGGAGTCGAGCATCATTTGGTTTTGACAACAATGATGCAAAGGTGTCCTATGCTACCTTGGGTGTATCATCATTCCTGATGCGCTTGAGCAACTCATCGTCTATGGTTGTCTTGAACACATACATTGCCTTGCCGGCCTTGATCTTCCATTTGCGGAGTGCCTTAGCATTTTCCTTGGAAGGTGGTGCGGTCTCATTTCCATTAACAACCTCCCCTAAATCCTGCCCTTCAAGGTAGGACTTGATGCGACTTTGCCAACTCTAGTAGTTGTTGTTGTTGAGTCTTGTGACTCCACTCATTGTGTTCACAAGATCTGCCATTGTGACTTGGTGTGATCCTCTGCACTTTCACCAAGCAAGTGTGGTCTCTAACCCACAAGCTTCACAGTCTCAAGTTGTACACGATCAACTCGAGAAAACGGTCTCTAACCGCCTTACTCTGATACCAAATTGTTGAGTTGGAACGCAACGACTATACAAAAGTTATACAAAGTACACTCAAGTATACAAAGGAAGTTCTCGAGGACACCTGACTTTGGAATCACTCACACTTGAGCACTTGACTCTACTTCTTGTTGTTGTTGTTGTTGTTGTTGTGTCTTGTACCTTCCAAATGAGGTCAGTTCACTTTATATAGCCATCCACCTCCTCAATGGATGGTTAGGATTATTTTGATCGAAGGGCTATTATTGAGCCTCTAGATTTTTTAGCATATACTCATACTTTCCCTATATTCTAGAACTCTCTAAACTATTCTAGTATATTGTAGTACTTTCTATACTTCTAAAATATTCTAAAACCTTCCAGAACCTTCTAGATTTTTCTAGATTTCTACTAGTATTCTAGATTATTCAACATATGTAATTAATGGCCTAGATAATCCTAGAAGAGTCAATGATGACTCTTAACATTTATACATTATTATTACCCGGAAACAATGATTTACTAGAATCAGGTATATAAATTATGTGATATGTGATTAGTGGTGAATTTGAGATCCTAAGCTTTCTCTATATTCGAAAGAACTCAATTTTATTTGCATAATTAAATTAGTTTTGTCTTTTGGTCTCATTAGTTAATTCAACCATCATCTCTTGATCAAATTAATTTAGGAATTACTATCTGAATAAATACAACCCAGCCCATAGTCCTCGTATGATACCTGAACAATCCACTGTTCTATGGAATAAGTGTTGTGTTTAGTTCTTTATTTTGATTGAAAAGCGACTGATCACTCTTTGCACTCACATCCTCAGTTTGAGGGTGTGTAAAATATGTTATGTTTATGTTCTTGTTATTTAGTTTCGTCATTTAGAGGAGACATGGTCAAGCTACGAGTCAAACCATGCTGCTACGGTGTGGGAATGGCCGAGCAATGGTACCTCGACCTGGCTGACTGTTACTGTTGGCCCCTCGATGTACCCTATGGACGTGAGGTATGCAGTGTCATGGCTTGGTAGAAGCTCGCCTAGCTGAGCTGTAGGGTGCTGAGCCATGACATTGATGTGCAGGCATGACCTAGCATGCGAGATTTTGCTTTGCTGAATGGTGCTGTGGGCCATCTCTCAGGGCTCCCTATACTAATTCACTTGATCCATTGGCCTGCAACCAAGTCACTAAGCTTGTTAGTGCGCCTAGCAACCGAATTTGATGTTTCATGCGATCTTGTTAAGCTAGGCGTATATATCAATTTTTAGTACTTAATTCTTAGTTTTCAGTTTTATCAAAGACCACCTTAATCACTATCAATATTTTGCTATTACTTTTGTTCAACATTTTTCATTATCCTTAAATTATTGATTGACATATTTTCATGTGTTATTTTAAAATACTGATTCAATAGGCTATTTTTCCCTCTTGTTCAGAAATTCTGCCCTTCCATAAAAACTAGTTGGTTGATGCTGGCTGGAAGACCTTTTAAAAATTATGTTTGATTATAGACAAATCAAACACTTCTCCTTCTTCATTGAAGTTTTTCGTTAACACTTTTCTGTAATTCTCCTAATTCATGAGGGCAATTTGCTGGAGCTATGACATCCAGCTCAAGTTGCCACAGTTTTGAATTTTCCTGTGTAACTGATATGTGGAATGCATTCATCATAAACTTCAGTTGATTGATAGAGCTAGAGAATATCTTGGGCTGTCAGATCTTGAGAAGCACACATCCGCTGGTGGCATTCTTCATGTTCATGCTGGTGATGCGCTTTCTCCATCGGTTAATATTCCTGGAGGGTATGCTGGTAATTTGCCTACTCAATTTATTATTATGATGTGCCAAATTCGTTTATTTCCCTTGTCCTTGGGTATGATTTCTACTTAAATATGTTGCATGTATAAGAATTGTCTCAGCCATCTATTTCAGAATGGCAGCACAGACCCTGCCTCCCCTGTCCAGCCAGTCAATGACCATATTATCAATCATAGCATCTATTATAAGCCACTTCTCGCGTTATTGATCCCTTACGCTTCAGCATCCTTTGCTCTTCATTTAACCTCAGTGTCTTTTTCATTTTTTAGCTTTTGAAACTTGATGTTGCTACTGAGTCATTTGAATATATACTAGAGGCATTTGTAATTGTTACTATTATTTTTTGGTCTAGCTATGGTTATGCTCATTTGGGAAAATATTGTCCAGGAATTGTGATTGACTTGTTTTCTGATGGAAAGGTTTTACCCGAGTTGCAAGAGGTATATACCTAACTCTATTAATTTTGATAAGGCTTTGATTAGATGGGACAGTCATCGGATACTTTTGTGTTCGTAAAGACAGTTGTATGATTATATCGCCTACCCCTAATGTTAGCTTTGCTGATATTGTGAGTCTAAAATATATTTCTATTAAGTTTCTTACTATTCTTGTAGCTATTGGTGCACCCTACTCTCTGATCATGAAGTCTTGGTATTTGATGTTTTAATCACTGATATCCTCGATATATCACATCATAGAAATTGATTAGGGAAATTGGGGTAGATTTTTCATGTATAAATACTTATTAAGTGATGCTCGAGTTTAGTTATGAAAATTTTGTCAGTAATGTATTATGCTAATCACACTTTCAGATGGTAGCATAATAACTTATGGTCAGTCAAAAAGATATTTATCCTTCTCTTTGAGTTTTTTTGTTTTTTTATAAGAAAATATTCTAATAGAGAGAAGAACACCAAGGCGGTGCTATGGTGCCACCTGTATATAATATAAGAGAACCAAACCGAACCAAACCAAACCAAACACCTGTGAAGACCTATGTTGGTTCAAGTATGAAACGACAGCACCCGAGTACCAACTATACAAAGCATAGTGTACATATAAATTGACGAAAAGCTTGTTTTAAATAAGCATGTGGTGCAACAGGTACTTGCCTCTATGGAAAGAGATGTTGGTCCAACCTTGGTCATGATATATGATCCTTTGTTAAATTATTTTTTATGCTATAATGTTTGAAAATCCATAGATTTGTTCACTTTTATGAATTAGAGCAAACAAGAATCCAAGAATCTATCTGACAAGAAGTTAAAAATTCAAAATATCTAATCATCAAACTGAGAGAAATTTGACACTAATGCATTCGTAAATAATATTATTAATTTATACCTATCACAAGATTCACAACTACACAAGATCCAATCTAATATTTGTATTTTGTATCAAAACTAAAGTATATATGTATATATATACCTTGGGGTGGCCATCATGTTGTGTTTTGGGTTAATGTTAGAATTATCTCAATACTAACCCTACCCATTTATTATTTCGTGTTATTATGTGTCCAGTTCATGTTGTGTTAACATGCCATGTCAAAACAAAATTAGCCTTAGCTAACAATATCAAGCACATGAAACTAAATTCTTTCTTCACAAGTTAAATTTAATGAAGCTAATTTCTACCGAATTAAATTATTCATAAGAATATTTGATTTCAACTCAATTTATTTTCTTAATTACAAAAAAGATACCATATTATTATATTTTTTTGCTAGATTAACTCTAAAATAGTAGACACAAATACATTATCTCATCTTCAATTAAAAAAAACAAAAAAACTATATTCATCTTAAAATCCTATTTTATATACTTTCTAATAAGTTGGATGGAGTAATATAGGGGATTCAGAAATGTCATGGGACCCCTTAGTGGAAATAATATTAAATATTTAACTAATTTTTTGTTAAACAGGTTATCCCTGTCAACTTCATGTCATGCTGGTTCGACACTAACCTAACTTGTTTAATGTTCATGTTATTGGGTCATGTCATATACTTGTTTGTGTCGGAAAATGGTCAACTCTAACCCGCTAACTTCGTATAAGGTTTAAGTCGTGTTATCATGTCATGTAAAGTATTCCCACAATTATATATAACCCTACATAAAAGAAATACCAGCATCATGTACAAGCATCGACACATCTCTCAAGGCTACGTATCAGAGTCCGACATGTGTTACTCCGACACAATCTGGCGCGTCCTTTTCTTCTTCCCTCTTTTTTTTTTTTTCATCTCAAACACGTCCTAGACACTTCGTTAACGAGTTTAAGACACGTTGGGAATTGTTCGAAACCATAGCTTGAGAGAGAGGTCCTTGAAATCAAAGCTCAGTACTGTTTAGGTGACATGTTTGGGACGAGACCCATCGGGCACTATTCGAAGCCCCAACTGCGACACAGAGATGAGACAGAAGAAAATGAAGCTTCCACATGCGATCAACACAGAGAGAGAGAGAGAGAGAGAGAGAGAGAGAGAGAAGAAGAAGAAGACCAAGCTTCCTTTTGCAATGATAACAAAAGCCTCCTTGTTTGATTGCTCATTTTGTCTTCCAAGAAAAGGGAGTACAGCTCATGAAAGCTTCCACCTACTAGTTAAAAGCTTTCACCCTATTAGTCAAAAGGTCAAAACAGCTGGCATCCACTAACCAATTAGATGGTCAAAATAGCTATCTGAAATGTGTATATTTATATTTTCTTATGTTGATGATTGTGTGCCACGTGAGTGAGTGACTTTGTAATGTTTAATTTTTTAGTTAATGTTAAATTATATATTTTTTTCATAATGTTAAATAAAGTATTTATATATGAGGTATATTAGATAAATAAATATATATTTTTAACGTATCCTTAGCGTGTCATGTCCCTCATTTTTTGAAAATTAACCTGTCGGTATGTCCGTATCAAGTCAGGTGTCCGTGCTACATAGTGTACAAGTATAAATCAATACTTGTGTTAGAAGGAGACAATTCAAAAACAAAAGTTATGATATGAAAATTTAAAAATTCCAAAAGTTTTCAATTTTTATTCTTCAATCTTCATTAAAGGGGAGTATATATATATTTACAATTCGAGTAATCCAAATACACATCTCATATACACAAATCACTATGTTTTTTCAAGCTTAATGCTAGAGCGGTTAAGTGACACTGAAAAAGGTAAAGGGAGGTGAATTGTCTTTTCACTTTTCCCATGATACTATGAAGGGCCACACCGCAACATCTTGATGAGTCAGATCGAACGGTCAGCATTGGTCCGATTGATCCGAGTCACCTCTCCAAAATATTCCTTTTGCAAGTAGAAAGAATGGGCAAAGTCAAATTGATTGCTTGGTGTATCGAATTGAAGATGATGTTCATGTGATTTCTGCTTCAGTCAATTCATCCCCTGGCTAGTAAGTTTTCTTCTTAGATAATGTGTCAAATGTGAGGGTATGCTCTAATGTCTTGGCAACCTCACGATCGTTCTGTGAGGCAGTGGGTTCACTATGAGAGACAGTTGGACCCTGCTTTGAGTGTTTTTCTTTAACGCCACGTAAAGTGAGTACCTGTCACGACCCCAACCCGCCCTTATAGGCTGGAGTGGTGATCGGCCAGTAATCCCTGATTACCAAAGGCCTACCTTAACAAATCACGAAAGGAATAGAATATATATAGGGCCAAACAGTGGAATATTCATTAATCCATTAAGTCCATAGAGCAGTGCATAAGTAATATGGAATGAACTTACAACCTTTCATTGATTATCTTTAGAATAATTTACATTATGTACATAAACAAAAAGATAGTACAATACTTACATCCATAGGTATAAAACTTGTTACATACGAACTTGTCCCTCAAAAACTTACATCCCCAAAAGAAGAGACAACATAAACAAAAGAAGGAAATAAAAGAAAAGACTTCTCATAGCATGACCACATTCTCTACCGGCGTTCTTCCTCCTGATCACCACATTCAAGCGTTTTACTTTAGATTAGCATTTTCTAAAGAATCAGCTCTAACTAAAGTCTTTTCTAAATGTTAATCATGTACTAAATGTGCATATACCCTACAATAATTTCATATGCTTTACATTGGAAAATATCGTATTTACATATTTAAGGTTTAAGGAAATAGCAAGAAATGAAAGGAAACTAAGTTAGGAGCATGAAATAGTTAGGAAGAAAGTGAGCAGCATTCACGAAGTTAGACATATCTATTTGTATACTTAGAATTTGGATGTGAGACCACCACCATTGGAAACTAGACTTTCGGGGCTCGAATTTAGACTCAAGAATCACATAAAACGGAGTTCGGATGAAAGATATATGCTTATTTGAAGTTGCAAGGTATAAGCTAAAATAGGACTGGCAGCATGTGCACCCATGTTGGCCGCTCGTGCGGTAGCTGGGCCGCTCGAGTAGTGGACTTGGCCACTCGAATGGTGGGTCAAGGCATGCAAAATGCATTCTGCACACTCGTGCGCCCGATGAAGGCCGCTCAAGCGGACAACAAGCTCAGGTCGGGGCTGGAACTGTTGTACATGTTCTTAAACCTTCCAATTTGATTTTCTTTACTTCGAAACCTCAAAACATGGTATATAAAACATGTAAATATAGAGCTAGATACATAGAAACTCCTTTATTTGCAAGGATTTGAAGATCAAATTGTAAGTTTCTGAATGTTTCTGTATATTCAACTTGTATTCAATACAAAGATTACAACCGATATATATAGCGAACCTAAACCTAATCTGAAATAGGAAATAATAACCCTATACAATCAATCTATATATTCACACAATCACACAATCAATCTAGAATATATTTCCATAATTAACGTACATTCTCACACCCCCACTCAAACTCAAGGTGGTTTAGCAGAAAACACTGAGAGTTTGTCAAGAAGAAACTGAAAACGAGCAGTGGTGTGAGTCTTCATAAAGAAATCAGCAATTTGCAATGCCGAAGAGATGAAAGGAAGCGAGATGGAGCCAAACTGCAGATGCTGATGTACAAAATGACAATCAACCTCAATGTGTTTCGTCCACTCGTGAAAAACAGTGTTATGTGCAATCTGAATAGTACTGTGGTTGTCACAGTAAAGGGAGGTTGGAGAAGACTGAGGGACACCTCGATCAGTCAAGAGACAACGAAGCCAAACAATTTCAGCAGTAGCATAGCCATAGCATGGTACTCAGCCTCGACAGTGGAACGCATAACAACAATCTGTTTCTTGCTCTTCCAAGAAATCAAGGAATCATCAAGAAACATGCAGAAGCCAGAAGTGGACTTGTGATCAGTGACATCACCAGCCTAATTAGAATCAGCATAAGCCACCAAGTCCAAAGAGGAAGTAGAAGACAATAGTAAACCTTGAAATATAGTACCCCGGAGATAGTGAAGAATCCGAACCAAAGTAGCCTAACGTGTAGAACGAGGAGCAGAAAC